AGCTGACAAGCTGATCCCCCAAACCTTTGAAAGCAACTCTCTACAAGTTCTTCAAGCCACCATTAAGATATGCAGCACTGACTAACTGTTAGCAACAGAAGTTTGTGGCTTCCTGTTTTTTCTGTTGTGTTACATTAAAAATCGAGCATCATGTGAAGATGACAGTAAATCTGTCATATTTGTGTGTAAAAAATACTCAATGTTGGGGCTTAGGACATTTTGTTATTGAAATAAAAACTGATTTAAAAAAGTTTTAGCCTCTACATAACAGAATTCCGAGACTGCTGTACCTTGTAAACTGTGGTCTCTATCTGAGGCAGCGCTCCACGACCAAAGGTTTCACACGCCAACCTCCCTCTGGTTGATGCAGTTCCAGCTTGTTCATGTACTTTGTGTGGGTCTGTAAATACAAATAGAGGAACATGGACGACAGCGTGACGAAAATGACAAAGCACAGTTTCTGTAATGTTGGACCAAATAAACGAATTATGCTGATTCAGAAAATCGTACCCGGGACGTTTTCATTTGTTTCAGTTAGGAGACTAGGAAAACTGTTGGGGAACATCTGGGGGAAAAACAAGATTGTGTTAGAACCCAATCAGAATGTATGTATCTTCATGTATCTCCATCGTGAACAACCCATTCCAAACATCTGTCAGGTGCTGGCAGTGTTTTGTGTGTCACTGAATGCCTACCTGTTGATATTGCTTCATCAGCAGGTCCCTGATGGCAGTGAGTTTTCGCCCACTGAGGTTAGCTTCTTTTATAGTTTGATATTGTGTTGACAGCAATAACGCCTCAAAACAAACAAACAAACAAACGTTACAGATTTTTAAAAAAATAACACTGAAGGAAAAATGAAGCTAAGACAGGAGAGCGACGTCTCACCTGGGATAACAGTGGCTTTTGTTTTGAAGTCAAAGTGGTCACAAAGACGTACGGGGTTTGAAGGTGGTGAACAGCGTACGTTGGTTTCATGTGATTGGGCCGGGTGTAGCTGTCGCCCCACGCGATTCGAATCCATATGGCTTCATCTGTGTGCTTCTTGATTTTAATAGAGACCTTCGACCCAGCAA